TAAGGTGAAGTGATTCTGAAAGAATGATTTTGTTTTATTTTGTCTTGACACCCTGCCTTCCATCCTTCCAACCCATGAGAAACATCACATGTYACTGATCTCCACCCAAACATTGAGCCATTCACCACAATTCTGAGCGTGCCCTTGTAGCCCATTCTTTATCTGCTCAGTGGTCTGGCCAAATCCATGYCTCTCCAATTTTGGGACAAGGTGTTGTGTAGGATGGTGACAAAGGCACTGCACAAGACCAGATTGATGATGACATTTGCTCTTTCTTTGGAGCTTAATTTGCTTATTCTGAGTAAATTACCTGGCTGATGGATGGAGCTTTACAGCCCCAGTTTTATTTGGGGTTTAGCATTYAAATATGCAGTCTGGGGGACATGTATAAATTGCAGTGAATGTTGAGGTTCTGAGGTCCAGGCTGAACAAAGCATTGGTTGCAAATTCAGCAAGCTTTCATCCGTGTGGTTTTAGTGATGCTGTCTCATATTTGTGGTTTCCAGAGGTTTTGGGGGGTTTTTATTGGTGTTTTTTTTTTACTATAGGCATTTTTATGGTTGAGATTGATGAAGTTGCCTGTCTGTATGAGGGACACGTTGGTGAATATTTGACATGTCCTTCTTTTATTTTGCAGAGACCTACAGCCAACAAGACTTCTGGTGCTCCTTCCTACAGCAGATGGTCCAGTTCACAGCCCCATCAGGTAATATGCCCTTGTCAAAACGGATATAAAGCTCAGGTTGACACATGCTTCCTTTTAAAATGAATCTTTGAGGGGATCTGGGAGTGTTTTCTACCTGCACTAGTCTGACTCGGTCATGCTGCTCCCTGAGGTTGTTGCAGGATTTCCTGTGGCAAACTCTTGGATGCAGTTGCTGCTCACAGAGGGGTTTGTCCAGCTGTGCCTCCTCCAATGCAGTGGTGCTTCTCTGGTTTGGCAGGAATGGTTATTATGGCTGGACCCCCCCTATATTTTGCATTTTGTCACTTACACTAGGAGTGTGTGTGTTTGATGCCCTTTGACAACACATGAAGTCCTGCTCTCTCAGCCTTCCCCCTGCTGTCCAAAGTTTTTTCGTGAAGTGGTTACARTGGTCAAAACTTCCAGAAAAACTTGTAAACCCAAACTGAAGCCAGAAAGTTCTTCAGTGATAGCAAGGAAGCAATTTCATTCTAAATGATTCTTCATAAGAATTTGAATGGTATTCAGGGTTTCTGTTACTTAATCAAAACAAGAAAACTTTTTGGACTGTAGACAAGGACATGGCTTGCTTTTGTTACTAAAGAACTGTATTTCAACTAAAACAACTTTGTCTGTAAAAACTCCTCAGGTGTGTTTTCAGTAGTGATTGTATTGACATTGCTTTCTTCCAGCCTCTACTTTTGGATTGGTTTTTTTTTTTTTTTTTCCTATTTCTTTCTACCTTTACTTTTTTAAAAAAAACAAACCCAAAACCCAAGCAATCCACAAAACCCAAAACCACAGCTTTCTCCTGACACTATGAAAATTTTAAATTATCCTGGAGAGCAAGCCCTTGATCTGACATGCTGTATTTTCCTTTTGAAGGACATATGTACACTAAGAGAGGAAAGTTTCACAAAGCTGTATTTTGGCCTCAAAAACTAAAGCAAAAGAAACCACGGATTTAATTTGTATTCAGATTAGGATGGGGGGAAAGTGGCTAAATGCTTCATGGGCTGTTAGTTGCCTATTTCACTATGCTTCCAGTCTTAATAGTTCTGTTTTCACAAAGTGTTGGGAGAGTTTTGTGTCTCCTCTTTGAGACGAACAAAGAAAAGAATGTATGAAAATACGTACGAAGAAAAGAACGTATAAAAATGCGTTCTTTTTGCTTGTAAAAGTTTCCGTGTTTTCTCCTTCACTTTTTCAACACTGAATTTTTACTGTTGTTAGGGTAAAAACGTAGAGTGCATAGACAAAAGGTGAACTCTTTTCAGTGGTTATTGCTTGCTCCATTCTAGGGCATTAGACAGTGAGCAAGATAAACTTCATGGAGTATCACTAATATGTACAAGCACGGTTCCCCTCTTCCTGTGTGCCTGCAGTTGCCTGTTACTGGGACACGAAGTCCTAAGTCAGGAGGAGATCATCCTAACAAATCATATGAAATGCACCTTTATGTTCTGCATGCTTGATTTCCTTTTTGAGAAGGGAGGRAAACATAAGTGCGTAATAAAGATTGTAGTGTTACAGCCCTGTCAAACCACTAGCAGAGTTGAGGAATTAACTACCAGGAATGTTGCTTGAAAGTATGTCTAAACTATCCAATATCCAACAAAAAAAAGTTCTATTATATTATTAATGTATTAAAGCATGCCCATGGTAATTTCCCTCCATGTATGTTGTACCACTCACGTTTGACTCTCATCTTCGTTTGTCATTTCCACCCTAATCTTTTCTTTTTTACCCTTGTTTATTGTAAGCTTTTGTGTTCTGTGTTTTGGATTTAATAAGCTTATAAAGTTGCCTCATGGATATTATAAATGCCAGTCCCAACTGTGAGGATGTATAGCCTTGCTGCGGTTCTGTTTGGGAGACCGGAATACTGCTGTGCRCTCTCATGAGCTGAGTGGCAAAATATTTGTATTGGATCAGAGATTTGTATTCAGCCTTGCAACTTGCCAGCATCTATATATAGTTTATTTAATTTTTTTTTAAGATGGCTTTCCAGGAAAGAAAAAAAATTAAAGTTCAAAATTCATAGTTTGCATTTTCTTCAGTCACATGCAGTGAACCCAGTGAAGGCTTTTCCACATGCATCTTAGAAGAATCCACACGGTAACCTAATAGAACTACACAGCTGAGACCTTTGATGCATCTAAGAAATGTTAAAAGTTGAATTGATTTCTTCCTTCTTTCCCCCAAGTTTTTCTTTTTTCATTTCCTCTATCTATGTGAAGTTGCAAGGTCCATTGGGTGAGAGATTTGAAAGGGTGGGGTCAATGAGTCACAGAAAATAACACGCTTTTCCCTGACTTGTTTTGCTTTGTGCTATCCAGACATGCTTATATTTTGTATTGGATAAACGGCAGCATGTTTATCCATCTCAAATATGCTGTCTGGGGAAGGTTTTTAATAAGTTTCTATCAACTCATCGCTCTCATGGACACATGGAATTTGTATGCTCAGGTTTTTTATTATATGGAGCTCTTCAGAGAATAGTGTTGTTTAGGTTTTGTCTTTTTTTTTTTTCCCCACTGCCCCAGGAGCCTGGGAAAGTGTCTTGTTGCAGGGGAGGCATCTTTAAAACTTGATTTGGAGGTTTCTTCTGACTGCGCTGGGAAAGAGACATTAGTATCTACTTCAAGCTAAGTTTCTTCAAGCATTCCTCTTTCTCAATGTCAGAATAAGAAGCCAGTAGTCTAAAAGGTTGATTTTTTTTTTTTTTTAAGTCAAGGAGTTAATCTCTTGAATTAAGGGGTTTGGGGTGTGGGCAGGAAAGCCAAAGCAAACCTTGGGTTCTGAACCGGCTTCCACAGAGCTGTGTTGGATTTCACTGCCTTCAGGTGCACTAAACTGGTTTGAGGGATGGAATCAAGGAGGAGATACAGACATTAATGAGCCAAAATTGCCTACACTACATTCTTGGTTAGTGGCGTTGCTTGATTTGTGAAGAAGTCTGCAGCAATTTTGTGAGAAGCTCTGAAGTGAACTTAGTCCTTTTGCGGTGCTCTGAAGGCTGCGTGTGCTTYCTGAAGTGCAACTGGCTCTTACCACTGATGAAAATGAATGAGGAAGTGGCACTTTATCAAGCATGATGATACAGCTATTTCTAACATGATGCTGCTTTTGCTGAGTGGGATGGCAGCTGAGGCAGAGCTTCTTGTAGTGATGGCAAATCCTTGTGTGGGACAATCTGACATTAGGAATCACAGGTCTGCAGGCAGGCTGGGACACGAGGCACTCAGCATTGCAGCTTGATGTCCCTAGAGACAGTTTGAACATTAACAATTCACTCATTACTGGTAATGACTTGACAACTCTGTTCTAGTAAAAATGGAGAAGATTAAGAGCAAACCCCTATTTTTTCCTTAGGAAAAAAAAAAAAAGAAACCAGATATTTCAGACTCCAGCTGAAGGTAGTGGTGTTGAGAGAAACCATAGCTAAAGTGTCATAAAAGGGAGAATAATGGGGCAATGCTGCTCCTAATTTGCTATGTCCTAATTGTTCATGAGAGGCAAAAAGTCAGTCGAACCTACTCAGATCTCACAAATACACTCACCTTGTATGCAGGCAGAAGATAGTGATAGGCTGACTTTTCTTGCTCATGAGCACACTAGGGAGCTGGTGAAATCTGACAATTCATTTGGTCTCCACTGTTGGCTGGCACCTTAGTGGCAATATTCCAGGTCTCTTGCACAAAGGTTGTTAGCAAGGCTATCTTTAGAAATGCTTGGATTATATTACTTTCCAGAAATCTACAAATGCCTCTCCAGTGTTAGGTGCTAAATGAGCCTGCAGAATAATTGGTGTGTATTAAATGCCATTAAAAATAATATAGAACATTTCAGCATCTTTTTCCTCCTCATGTCTATTAGCAAGGCATTCGTTTATGAGCTAATGAAGTAAAAAATGCAGAAAGCRAATCTATGTCCAATGGGCCACAGGACAGGAGGGCTCTCAGCTGTGATTCCATAATGTTCCTCTGTCTGGCTCCAGTGCTGCTTTGTTACAGAGTTATTGCTCTGACTTTCTGGTAGTGGCAAAACAAGCTCATMGCTTTCTTGCTGGTAGTCAGAGCTTTGTCTGTTGCTGAGCTTGGCATCAGTGCCTTAAGGGCAGAATGTGCTTTTTCTTCAATATCCTGCTCTTCAAACACAGGGATAAGTACTCTCTTTTATTACACAGTGGTTAGCAGTTTCTTAGAAGAATCTGGGCAGACAGTGGATGTTGATAAACATTCAGCATAGAATCTGTATTTTAAACAGGCAAAAACTTTTAGTGCTCCATATGATAGTTTATAATACAGTTTCTTTGTGATTGCAATGATGGAAATATCAGAATACCAGTCAGGAAGACAGAGCTAGGAAAGGTGATATTCCAGCTTTACTGTGGCAGCTGTTTAATTGAATTCCAGGTCAGAGATTTCAGTGTATGTAATTTCTCTCTTGCTTTATCCCTGTTATGTCTGTTCCTGCTTTCCCCTTGCCTTGTTTTTGCCCTTGTATTCTTCCTGTGTATGTGTTGGAACAGTAATCTGTTGATAAGAAGATAATTAGACAGGTGTCAGTTCAGTAGTCTCTTTCACAGTGCACAAGGTCAAAATGAACCCTGTGATTAATTGTGCAGCGTGAGAGTAGAGCATTTATTTAGTTTTAAGAAGCAATCCCAGGTATGGCTGCTGGTAGCAGTCGGGATTGTTGTAGCCTGCTTGTATCAAAATAAGATGCCTCCAAGTGGAATTTGTGACTACTTTGAGCCATTGCTCCAGTTGTCTTTGTGTTCAGGTAAAATGCCAGAAGTCCTCRGGGAAACTCACTATTCCCCATCTCCCTGCTCTAAGATCCTTTCTGTGAAGTGAGTTTTCCTTYAAACTGATGGAAGATAGCTAGTTCTAAATACTTCATAAAGAGTAATAAATAGTTATGTATTCAGCTGCTTTGAATCTTATTTGTTTGTTTTCCTTCGGTGCCTCAAATCTGACTTGGAAAAAGTCAGTATTGAGAAAGTCACTGTCTCC